GTCACAGGGACAATTGGCTCCATGGGTCCTATAGGTCTTGCCCCTCAAGTAGCTCCATCACTGTTCCTTCCAGTTAATACCCCCAACAGAGACCCTGTGGAGTTTAGTTATGATTTCCTTGGATTCAGATCAAGCAAATGTCTCAGTTTCTAAATTACCATGTATATGGATAGGACACTTTCACATCAACTGCTTTAGCATCACATAGCTCTTTGTGTGATAAATTTTTAAAATCAGATGTCAGAAGAGTGTCTCAATGTGTTGTTTGAAAATCCTTGATTTTTTCTGATTATAAAAGCAATATAAATTTATTCTTAAAAATTTGGAAAAATCAGAATGTTTCAAAGAAGATTTAAAGCACCAGTAAGTCCCCCACCCAGGATTGTCCTGTTAACATCTGGGTGTATTTCCCTCCAAGTTTTGACTTTGCACGTGTATTTGAGATCCATCCTGTTTTTCTGTTAGGTTTTCCCCGTAGCATGAAAAAAATCATAAAGTACTTTTCAAATGTTTTCTCAGATACTAGAGGTCTCACCCATAAAATTCATATGTAATTTGAAATGTAAGTTTTCCATAAAGAAAACATCTACTGTAGACCAGGGCCACCAGAGAAGGCTTCCCTGTAACAAGAGCTGTATCAGAAATGCAGCAACACAATTCCACTGATTCAGGGACCAGGCTCCTTCTAGCTGTGGATTGTCACTTGTTATTTCTTTCAAGCTAAATTTCAACACTGGGCCATTTTGTACCTTAGCTAGTTCTGTGTAAAGTGATCATTTTTCTAAAAGAGAAAGAAACAGAAGAGAGAGAAGGAAGGAAAACCTGACTTTCACATAGGCCCACATTGACCCTGAATCAATATCTAGAAAAGCAACTCTCAAGTCAAGAAAATCATCAAAATTCTCGGTACTATTCCTCCAGTCCTTTTGAGTGCATTTGTGCAGCACTTCACAGTTAGCAGAAAGTGTCCTCCCCTCTATATTATCCCTGGTGGTAAGAAGTTGTTGGTGTCATTGGTTGTGCAGGAACATGAGACAAATGTCTGCCTCCCCAACAATAACTGCCACGTGCCCACCCTGAGCAGCTCCAAGTACTCCTGGAAATGCCATTCAGATCCCCCGCTCAAATTCACATCTGGAATTCCAAGAAAGAAACATTACAAAATGTGATTACAGGCTGAGCCACCAAGCCCGGCTAATTCCCTCCCCATCTTCCTACTGATGCATCCAGCCAGCACCCATTTCTGGGGCCCCACTGAGGCCACCTTCCAACCATACTCAAAAGAGGTTTGGCCTTCTATGTTGGTTTTTTTTTTTTTAATTAATCAGTATTTTTTATTATGGTTTTGTGGGGTACAGTTAAGGGTTAGGTGTACAATTACGTTTCATTCAGACACCCTGTTGATAAGAGGTGTTTTCCCAGCCCCAGACAGATACTTGCTACTGT